GAAAAAAAACATCAAGAAATAAAATTACTTAGAAAGATGGATGTAAGGTTTGTAATACTCACATCTATAAAACGTGCCATTTCTCATAAAGTCATTTTTCTGTAGCGTTACAACAATTTCCAATTCTTAATGCTTGTCTTGTGGATGTCGATAGTCCAGACACCGCCAAATTAAAGTACCGTAGTATTCACAATATTGGTGTTGCAATGGACACACCTGGAGGACTTGTAGTTCCAAATGTGAAAAATGTGCAAACGAAATCGATTTTTGAAATCGCAGCTGATTTACACCGTTTACAAGAAGATGGTAAAAAAAACACGATTGCCCTTTCTGATTTTCAAGAAGGGACTATAACACTGTCTAACATTGGAATTATTGGAGGAACACATCTTTATCCGATTATTTTTTCTCAAGAATTATGCATTGCCGCCATAGGTAAAATTCAAAGATTGCCACGGTTTGAATCTGTTAAAGATGATACTACGGGAAAAACTATTGAAAAGGTAGTCGCTAAACATATAATGCCAGTAAGCTTTTGCGCGGATCATCGCGTAATTGATGGTGCTACTGTTTCGAGATTTTCTGAGACTTGGAAAAATTTAATAGAAAACCCTGCTTTAATGTCGGTAAAATTGCGGTGATCCTTTGCCTGTACAGTACATTCCTTTTAAACCTTTATAGAATAGTACCATAAATTTGTATAATAAATCTTGAATTTATATGCCTAATGTAATTTTATTTTTCTGTCAGATATATATTTTATTATATATTATTTACGCATCTAAAATAAGCTAAACACGTGAAAATCAATTTATATAAAAGATTATGCAACCGTGAGGAGATTGATCGATCTTCTCGGGGCTGCGATTATCATGGCCTCTACGAAGCTTCTCGTTATGAATAGGTCAACTTTTATAAATGCATACTCATTACTGGCACGTCAAAGACTACGAACATCAATAGTTGGTAAAGATTTGAAATATCATTTCACAATGACTTTGATTTCCTTTCAATCGATCGATCGATTCATTTCAAATTTAAAAGTTTTCACTAATGTGCGTAAAATAAAAATAATACTCTTACCTGCAAGTGGAAAATAGGCTTGTCCTTAATTCATTTTCAGCCACACGAAAACCAAACATATTACAAACTTTACACTTTTCCAGCAAAAGTCCATTTAGTTTACCAAAAGAATTACGACTTCTTCGAAATGCACAAGTTTCAAAAAAGCCGATAACGGAAATTCCAGAAAAAGGGTCAAATATACGAGAAGCAGTACAAGTTGCAAAAGAGGATACTAACGTTATTGACAAATCCTCTGATGCAATTGTTAAAAAAAAACCATTGTTTACACGGGTTAAAGACGAATTGGTGCATTATTGGCATGGAACAAAACTTTTAGGTTTAGAAATTAAGATCTCTACCAAGTTGATGTACAAACTTTTAAAAGGTCAAAAATTAACTCGACGAGAATACCGACAAGTATGTAGTGATGATAACTTTAATTAGTCGTTCCTACCTTTTCCTAATGAGTATTACATAACTTATGAACCTAGCTCAAAAGAACTACTCAAGATCTCGTTCGTTTAGTTCCATTCTTAGTTTTTGTCATTGTTCCATTCATGGAATTCTTGCTACCAGTAGCAATTAAATTGTTCCCAAATATGTTACCTAGCACCTTTGAAGATAGATATGCAAGGGTAATTTTTATCTTTTAAAAATATTTAATGCATTGATTTGGTAATTTACTATTTCTCGTTATGTAGGAAGAGAAAAAAAGAAAATTAGTCAAGGTCCGTTTGGAAATGGCCAAATTTTTGCAGGAAACAATTTCAGAGGCTGCTGCATCTGGACAAAACCGTAATGAGGCAGCAAAAGAATTCGCAGAGTACTTTCGTAAGGTATGACTTGATATTATAATTTAGTTCCACTATACAGCCAATACTCTCTAAACAGAACCTGGATAAACTGTGCACTTAACGTCCAAACTGAACTTTGAAATTTAAATTTTATGTTCGGATTAAATACTAGGTGCATTTGTAAACTAAACTTTTTGAAGATATTTTCTTAATAAGCCCCAAGGGTTCGATACAGAGTGTTGATTACATTGTATAATGCCTTAGTTTTAAACTAATATTACTGTATATCAAATAGATTCGATCAACGGGAGAACAAGCTAGCACAGAAGTTTTGCTTCGAATAGCTATAGTATTTGAAGACGAATTAACTTTGGACAATTTATCGCGTCCTCAACTGGTTAGCATGTGTCGTTATATGAACATTAATGCTTTTGGTACAGACAATTTCTTGAAATACCAAATAAGAAATAGAATGACGGCTATTGAAGAGGATGATAAAGTATATTTTTGTTTATTAAATTAGTTGCTAATGACAGCATGTTACGATATAGTATATTAAATAAAATATATATATTTTAACTTTCAGATGATAATGGCTGAAGGTGTTGATTCATTAACCATTCCAGAACTTCAACACGCATGTCAGTCACGTGGAATTCGTACGGTTGGAGTTTCCCCAGCGCGTTTACGTAGTGAACTCCAACAGTGGCTTGACCTTCATCTAAACCACAAAGTTCCCTCTACTCTTTTGATTCTCTCGCGTGCCTTCAGTTTAAGCGATCGGTCGGAGTTAAGTCAAGCAGAGGCTCTACAAGCTACCCTATCGAGTTTACCCGATAACCTTGTAATTTCTCTTACTTTATGCAAATTCCTTTAGTATAAAATTTAAAGTATTAATACCCTCCTTTAGATTAATGAAGCAGAATTGCAATTTTCTGAAGATAAGGGAACGGCTACCTACAAACAAAAGCTTGAAGTCATTGAGGAGCAAGAAGAATTGATCGCTGATGAAAAGGCTCAAGAAGAGGTATGAACAATTATTTGATAGTGGCAAGATAAAGTCATGTTTAAATCGTTCTGATTTTTAGAAAGAGGAAGCTGCGAGACGAGCTCAAAAAGAAGCAGAGGAAGCTGTTAAACGCGCTCAAAAGGCAGCTGAAGAAGCTGCAAAAGAGGCAACGGCAGTTCCTAGTAAACAAGTGCCCAGTGATACTCAAGTAAGTTTTTGGGAGTAAATCCTTGACAATAGTTTCTTCTTACAAACGATGATTCATTAATATTAATATCTTTTGCTTATAGGCCCCTGAAGAGGAAGACGTTCGCATGACTGAGCAGCAACTTCAAGAACTACGTGCAGCACTGACAATCCTTTCTTCTAAATCGGCTGTATTAGAAGAAAGGGAAACATTAAAATTAATTAAGGAAGACCGAGCGGAATATAAGGTTTGTTCTCATTTCTGTAACCAAGCAAAAGCCAACATAAATGAGATAACGATTAATTATTAATTATGTTTTAGGATATACAAGAGTTAAAGGAAGCTGGTAAACGTAAAGAATCCTCTGTATCAAGTCGTCTTGGATCGCGCTTAGAAAAAATGATCCGAAGGATTGACAAGGAACTGCAACAGTATGATAGTGAAGTTGGTTCTAAATTAAATTTAATTCAAGCGAATGAAAGTGGGCAAATAAGCGTTAATGATTTAGCTGAAGCACTTAGAATCATTAAACATACACCTGGCGATAATGAAATGATTAAAAAGATTGTGAAAAAATTGGATGCAGACGGTGATGGATTGGTATTTTTAGATCATATTTACGAGCTATGTTCAGCAGGTGAAGGTTTAGGTGTGTTGGTAGAAAAAGAGCCAGAGTCTCAGGAAGAAAAAGTTCTGAAGCCCAAAAAAGAGGACATTGTACAAACATAATCAAGTTGTTTCTTTGTAAAAATCATGCTTACCTGGACTTTTTAAATTCGATATTAACATTAAAGATTACAAATATGTTAAATTAATAGACAACATATATTATTAACGAATGAAAGAAAGTGTTTGCTTTCGCTTAACTCTAAAATTTATAGAAAATGTTTTAAATAGTTTATAATTTACTAAGTTACAAATAATCACATATAGGCTAATTCAGTAATTTAATCTCGAATTATTTACTAATTAAAGGGTAGAGCTTGTGATTTTTCCTTCATAAATTCGGCAATCTTGTCAATACTTTATTAGGTATAGATATTTAACTCACAGGTAAAATATAAATTTGACTAAGTTCACCTAAGTTACAAGTATTAGCCAACCCAGCTTTTTGTAACACCAAAGTGTCCAAATTACCCATGTTTGATCTGCTATAGTAAAGTTTATCTCCATATCAAAAAACCCTGCAAATAAATTCTTTGATATATCACTAAATGGTATTTATAGCCTATCAAGGTTGTCTTCTTTTCTAACCTTCTTCTCTTACCTTTTCAAGCAGAAGGATTCATAGTCTCCAACTAACTTATAAAAAAAAAAATACTAATACTAAAAATAATAAGAGGAACAGAACAAAAGAGAAAAAAAAAAAAACTGTCTAAGTAACAAGAAAATGAGTAAAATAAAACAAATGAAAAAAAGCAGAAAAACTAATTTATAAAAGTACTATTATAGCTCATACCAGGCACAGTTGTAAAAATTATATACTAAATTTAAAAATTTTGTATATCTTTACTATAAAGCTAAGTCTTTATCTTTGAAATTTTCTTCTAACTACTATCCAATTTAGGTTGATTTGTTAACCAGAGTGCCAATTGGTTCATTATATAATGTAAAAACATTATTATCAAAACAATTTCATGTTTATGTTCTACTTCATTCATTTGAAAATAAAAAATATAAACAATGCTGATCTTTTGAAACAAGCTATCTTGGTTACTTTTTGTTGAACTTTTTGTAAAAGCAGCAGAGAGGCAGAGTAAAGAGAGAGAAAACCACTTGCATACAAAATAAAAAAGTATGAGTTTTTTTTACTAGAATCAACTAAAATTTATATTAGAGCCTACATAGTACTAAGTCTTTTTGGTAAGTAATAAAATCTAAGCTTGTTAGCAGATAGCATATAAAAACTATTTCTAAATAACAAGTGCTGTGTTTGTAGTAACAGTAAGTGATAAACTTTAAAACCATTTGTATAAAAACTATCTCTAAATGATAGTTGCTATTCTAAGGCCCCTTTTTTCATGTCTTATAGTTTAATATGGTTATTTGTATTTTTTTTCTGTAAAAAGTTTTTTGAAAATTTTGGTAAAAGTGATTATTAGAAGAGTTTTTAATTTTTTGTATGATTTTTTTTTACAAATTACATTTTTTATAAATACTAGCATATAACCTATTGCTTTGCTTCAGAATTAAAAAATAAATATAGAGTTAATATATAGGATAGAGTTAATAAAAAAGAGCCAAATTTTTTCTAAGTGAAAGTTTTCTTGACTTTAAGCTTAAATATCTCAGCAATTATCTTATCAAATTTAATATTATTTTAATTTTTTATAATTTCAAAATTAAAATAAAAAAATTTTTAGCAAGTTAGATTAATTAGTTGTTGAGATATTTTAATTAAAAATTAAAAAAATTTTATTAAAAATGATTTGTCTCTTTTCTATTCCATATACTATAGTTGCTATAGTGATTATAGTAGGGTTCCTCAAAGTTGAATTAAATCAAATATTAGATATATTTGAATTTGATCAAATTGAATAAGCTCTTGATTTGAATTTGATTTAATCAAATCAAATTAAATCAAATCAAATTTATTTGTAATTTTATTAAATATTTTCAAATCAAATCAAATATTTTGTCAATTTGAATTTGATTTGATTTGAAATTTCTGTATTTGAATTTGATTTGAAATCAAATATTTGATCAAATCAAATCAAATTGCAGAACTCTAGGTTATAGTAAGTAATTCATAGATATAATTTTTATTCTCTATTATACAAATTATTTATTGTATCAACTAGTTAAAATATTACTATGGGATTAATCAACTAATCAAATTGCAAAATTTACAAAAAAATAAAACAATGAGATTTAAGAGAATTAAAAAATATGTTGTAAAGCAAAGTAAAAGCTTCATGTTTGTTTAACTATTTTCAATATTTATAGAAAAAATAAATCAAGTAAGCCTTCTAAAAAAGTATTGTAAAATAATATAAAAATATTTTTATTAATTATGAAATAATTTTGTAATATATTAACTGTTAGTGTTGTAAGTCGATAAGCAGCTAGTTAACTAAGTTGACTTAGCTAACCCCTGATCGACTAAGTTGGCTATCCAACTTGGTTATAATATTATTGGCCAAATTTAGCTATTGTTACTTTTATAGTTTTTTATTGGCTAATTTGCTTATTGTTGTAGAAATAGCATCTTGAATTATCATTAATGTCTTGTAATAAAGTCTTGTAATAAAAATCTTGTATTGTAATTAAAATCTTGTAATAAAAATTACTAAAATTTTTAAAGTTAAATATAAATAATTCTTTAAATGATGATAAAAATGAACAATTATCGACACCTACTACACCTCATATAAATGTTATTTCAGCTAATCAAAATGTAGAAAGCTGGGTTTGGTTATTCATTAATAAAAAACTTGAAGGTGTCAAGTTCAAATTGAAGATAATGGTATTAAAATTCAATACCTATAGTCTTGTCGAGAAAAAACTAGTACAACAAATATTGCTAGCTATTTAAGATCCAAACATCAAATCATTGAAGGAAAAAAAGAAGTTAAAATAAGCTCAACAATATACAAGACACAGAATTATTCACTTGATCAAAATAAAATTAAAAGAATTACACATTGTTTGATAGACTGGTTAATAGATGATATGCAGGCTTTTTACATAGTAGAAAATCATAAATTTCAAAATTTCATTTATAAACTTGAAACATTTTATTCTATTCCATGTAAAAATTCTTTGTATAAAAAAATGAGTGAAGCCATTAGTATAGTTGAGCAAGATTTAAGTGAATTAATAAATAATTCTATAGAATCTTTTTCTTTACAACTGATTTGTGAACTCAAGACCATAAACCTTATATCAGAATTACAATTCATTGGATAATACTTGATTTTATTTATTTATTTATTTTTTTAATATTGAGGTGACTACTTAGGCCCCTGGCACTTTATTAGTTCAAACGGGTAGGCCGTCCGAAGACTGGCTTACATATTACATCAGTATAAC